TCATGTGATTGTATGTAGGAAGAATTAGATTCTGAAGTTATCATTACACACACACACACACACACACACACACACACACACACACACACACACACACACACACACACACACACACACACACACACACACATATATATATATATATATATATGTGTGTGTGTGTGTGCGTGTGTGTGTGTGTGTGTTTGTAATACCTCTCATTGCATATTATTACAATTGCATCAATTTAGTAAAATATTACTATCATCATCATCACTAATACTATTATCGTCATCATCATCATCATAATCATTATTGTTATATTATTATTATTATTATCAGTATTAATAATATAATCATCAGTATTATTGGAACTCATATTCAATTGCATGGAAGAAGACGTATGTACGCTCGCACATACATAAACACGCAAGCGCACACACACACAAATATATATAATGTTTTTATATGATTATGAAAAAATATATATATATAAATATATATATATATATATATATATATATATATATATATATATATATTAATAATAACAACATTAACACTGATACTTAGGTATATATATATATATATATATATATATATATATATATGTGTATATATATATATGTGTATATATATATACACACACACACATGCATATATACATATATATATATATATATATATATATATATATATATATATATATACAATGTGGAATCATTGTTGTTTAACAACTTCAACAAAATCTTCACCAACAAACAATTGAATAGATGTTTTCAAACGTATTTATCTGTGTGTGTATCTATCCATCACATATCCATCCAGGGTATCTGTTCAGGGTATCCCAGATATCCATGGTATCTCAGATATCCAGGGTATCTCAGGTATCCATGGTATCTCAGGTATCCATGGTATCTCAGATATCCAGGGTATCTCGGGCATCCAGGGTATCTCGGGTATCCAGTGTATAATTAGTATCTCTGTTATAAACACTCGGGAATCATTACCAGCGGTAGCATGCAAGTATCATAGCTATCATTATCTTCCTCAGTGTCGTCTGTCATCGTCAGTGCTATTGTGTTATCCTTGTTGCTATCATCATCATCATCATTATGGTGACGGCGATGGTGGTGATGAGTGGCTCGTTCGCGGCAGTAGTGGTAGTGGTGGCTGGCAGTAGAAGTTGTGGTAGGCATATCTATGTAGAAGATGTAGTTGTAGATGCTGTTGATGTTGTGGATGTTGATGTTGTTGTTGATGATGCTGATGTTGTTGTTGTTGATGATGCTATTTTCACTTCGACAGTTCTGGTGACGATGATGACGACGAAGATGATGATGATGACGATGATGATTGGAGGTGATAACACTGATGGCAGAACACTTTTTTAAAACACGATGATGATGATGATGATAGTGGTGGTAGAGAATGACGACGAATGAACGATAGAAGGAACATCACAAAGTTTGAATGAAAATCAAGTCCAATCAGCAGCTGGCGCCACCAGCAACAATCCAACATCATCCGCGCGTTCACTTCCCTTTCAGATTGTTGCTGCTGCTGCTGCTTCTGCTTCTGATATTAACACTACCACTGCTTCGACTACCGCTGCAGCCACCACCAGCACCACCACCACTTGAATTCTTCACGCGAACGTCAGTTAAGCTAGGAGTTTTGCCAGGAATGTTGTTGTTGCTGCTGCTGCTGCTACGTTTGTGGTAGTTGAGGCTGATGAGGTTGATGCCGTTGTTGTTGTTGTTGTTGGAGGAGGAGGAAGAAAAGTTCGTTCGGTTGTTATTATTATTGTTGCTGCTGCTGCTGTTGTTGTTGTTGTTGTTGTTAGTGTTGGTGTTGTAGTGTTTGTCCTCAGTGAGTTTCTTGATGAGTTGGAAGGCTTCTTGGAAGCACTGCATAAATGAGATGACGTTCATGTGTAGATGGAACTGTCCGAACCTCCTGTCCAGCTTGCTGTAGAATTCTTTGCAACCTTCAAACGTATGTGTGCGTGTGTGTTTGTTTGTTGGTGTGGTTGTGTATGTGAGTGTCTGTGCATTTGTGTGTGCGCGTGTGTTTGTAGTTGTGTGTGTGCCAGAGTAATTATGAAGATTGACAATTGCAAATGTGGCAGGAAACGATTGAGAAATGTTCTGTTCATCGGGGCCACAGAAGCATGATGACGTATGAAAGCTTGAACAGCAACCACCACAACCACCACTACAACAATCACTACCAACACCACAACAGCAACAACCACCACAACAACTACCACCGCCAAAACAGCTACCACAACAACTTACTCGGCTTGCTCCTCAGCTTGTTGGCTGCCTCGATGGTGTTGATGGAGTCTTGCAAGAACGACATGGCGTAAGCATAAGTGTTCAGCTCCTTCGAAGGATCAAACGTCCAGCCACAGGGAGATGAGGCCGATGTCGTCGCTGCTGTTGTGGCTGTTGATGCCGCCACACCTTGCGAGGAGTTTTGTTGTTGATGCTGTTGTTGTTGTCGTGATCCCGTCGCTAGTTGGTCGGTCGATGTGGTGCTGGTCTGTTGGTCGTGTGGCTTCTGCTGGGCGTCTGCGGCAATGGTCGCGTTGATGTCTGCTGCGGCTGTGGCTACTACTGCTACGTCTCTCGACTGTTGGTGGTTGGTTCGTTGTGTGTGTGTGTGTGTGTGTGTGTGTGTGTGTGAATAAAAATGGTAACAGTGATAAAGTTGACGAAACGTCTAATTTGCGAATGTTTTAATTCTCTTTCTCTCTTCTCCCGAATGAAAGAATGAATGAATGAATGGATGAATGAGAGAGAGAGAGAGAGAGAGAGAGAGAGAGAGAGAAAAAAAAAAAGAGAGAAGAATGAAAACTTTTTAAATTAGAAAAAACCGATTTAGAACATTGAAGACGCACAGCTTTGAAATCTTACCCACCAACCAAACAAACAAACACAACAAAATGCAAGGGCAATAATGGCTGGTTAATGGGAAAGATGGCAGACAGGCGGGACTAACATTGTTGACGACAAAAATTTTTTCGCCGCGCTTCCTGGCGATCTGTGCCTCGTTGTAGATATCGTCAGACGACTTGCGACACAAAAAGTTGAACATTTCTAGATCGGCCGTCCTCTGAATTTCATTCTGCGTCTGCTTCTTCTTTGTGTCGCTGGCTGCAAGTAAGTCGCTGTTGTTGTTGTTGCTGTCGTTTATGAAGTTGCTGCTGTGGTTGGTGTGGTGTAGGGTAGCGGCGATCGATGACTGCTGCTGCTGCATTAGATGTTGTATACTCGTTGGCTGGTAGTGAGGAAAGAGTTGTTCGGATTGTTGCTGCAGTGTTGAAGTGGTCGCTGTGGGCTGGTACGTCTGCAGGTTGGCGGTGGTTGCGGTATCGGTGGCTGCTACTGTTGCTTGCTGCTCCGTTGGTCCGTCTTGTGGCTTTCTGATTTTTTTCACTCTTTTCACAAGTGATGGCTTGGGAATGATAGGAGGAGGAGGAGGAGGATCAGTTGATGATGACGACGATTGTGACTGGTCGGTTGCTAATGAGTTTTTGCTTACGTTGCTGACATTGCTGTTGTTGTCAACATTGTTGTTGTCAACATTGTTGCTGACATTGTTATTGCTGAGAATAATGTTGGTGATGCTGATGTTGTTGCCGTGTCGCTGCTGTTCTGCTTGTGGCTGTAGGATGGTGTCGTTGTCGGCTGGTTGGTCGTTAACAAGGCACTCAATGGCAGGAGTATTGTTTTGTTGTTGAGGTGTTCGTTGCAGTTGTTGTTGAGGTGTTCGTTGCAGTTGTTGTTGAGGTGTTCGTTGCGGTTGTTGTTGAGGTGTTCGTTGCGGTTGTTGGGGTGTTCGCTGTGGTTGTGGCTGTTGCGGCGTTTGTGAAGGCGTTCTACAAAGTCGCTTAGGGGAGGTATGTTGTGGTTGTTGCAGTTCTGGAAGGTGTCGCTTCAGTGACTGGTTAGAAGGATTTTGTTGTTGCTGGTTTGTTTTTGAAGAACTCTGCTGGCTGCGAGATTGTTTGGGGGAGGGTGTCGTCGGATCTTTTGCGGCGTCTGCTGTCTGTCTGGGCGTGTGCGCAGATTGTTTCGGAGTAAGTGCTCCTTGTTTGTGAGTGAGGAAGTCTCCTTTTGGCGTGCAGGGTTGCTTCGGCGTGCATGACTGTTTAGGAGTGCACGACTGTTTAGGAGTGCACGACTGTTTAGGAGTGCACGACTGTTTAGGAGTGCACGACTGTTTAGGAGTGCACGACTGTTTAGGAGTGCGTGGTTCTTGTTTCATGTGAGAAATGTGTGGTGTTGTGTCTTTCAAGTGTTTTTGCGATGGTGGCAACTTCTCTGCCGTCTCGTTCCTCTCAACGTTGGTCGATGAATTTTTTTTCTCAATTTTTATCTTTGTAGGAATGGTTTTAGGCTTGTCTTTGCTACGGGGCAGACTTGTCTTGTCCGACTGCTGTTTTTTCTTTGCATACTTTTGTTCAGAAAGTTGCGAAGCTTGAACCATCGAACCGGCAAAACTGCTAGCGTTAATGCTGCTTTTGTTTGCGTCATTGATTGAAAGGTCAATGGATTTAGAAATTTTCGATGTTGCATTGGAAGTCTCGGTAGATGCCGTTCCTGCGGCAGACGAACCGTTGGCTGGTGTATTCAAATTGGAAACCTTGGGTAACATGTTCGGCTTGGCAAACTTTCCATCCGACGTTTTGCGAGTTTCGAGTTTAGGTGACGGCGACGAACTTTTCACTCCTTTCTTGATCTTTATTTTTTCCACCACGGGATGTTCCTTCTCGTTTCTTTCACTTTCCGTTGGAGTAGGAAACACTCGAATTTTCTTCTTCCGAGAACCGGCATCCGATCCGGAAGTTGATTCATCCCTTTTTCTTTTTTTCTTTCTTTCTACCTCCATCATCTTGAGCAATCTCTTGGCAGCAAACTTCACAATGATAGATGCTGCATTGAAGACGGCGAGACTCGGCTTCTGAATCGGCAACGCTGGTGTCTCTGGAGTGCGAGGCATTTTGCATTCTAACGAAGGAGTGGTAAAGCAAGGCGGGTGCGGTGCTGCATAGCGTTCGGGAGAGGAAACGACATCAGCCATGTCAACATCTTCATGTAGGTGTTGGTGGTTGGATGAAACGCTGAACGGAGACGGTCCCTGAGGTGTTCCTGACGGATTCCACGACATCAGAGACGGCTGCTGCGAGAGAGGATTGCTGACCACGGAATTGATGGGAGAGTACGAGCTGCCTGCCATGCTTCGACATCCGACCACAGATCCAAGGTTGGAAGATTCTTTCTTCACTTGATCCAAATATACGCAGAGGTTCCAGGACCGAGGATTGGAAAGTTCAGGTTCTGGTTCAGGCAGAGGTGCCGGAGACGGAGGTCTAGAGGAGGCTGGCGAGGGTGAAGCAGATGACGGTGCAGATGAAGAAGAAGATGATGAGGAATCTGAGCTATCATCATCATCATCATTGATCAGTTTCATTTCAACGAGTTGGTCCTTTTTTATATCCTCATTCTCTTCATCCTCATCATCTCTGATTTCTCCTTCTTCCAAGCTAACATTTCTCTTCACGTCAACCAGAGATTGCTGATTCTGCTGGTTGATTTCCTGTTCCAACGCCTTCAGCTGGCTCCTATTCACATCCGAGTCATCATCCTCGTCATATTCTACATCTTCTCCTTCCTCATGCTGCTGCTGCTGCTGATGTTCATCCCCATCGTTATTTTCACTATCACTATCACTGACCACCAGATCTTTCTGCCAGGATAAGTTACGCTGTTGAATGTTCGTCCTCCGACCGCTTTTCATTTGTGGTTGAACGTCAGCATCGTTCGCGGTCATCATCACGTCATCATCCTCCATCACAGAATTAGAAGCAACTACACCAGCGACTGCAGAGATACCTGCATTATTATCAATCCCTTCATCTTCACCATCATCGTCGTCGTCGTCGCTACTGCTTTCGCTATTTAGGAATGTTCGTTTGGATCTTTCGCTGTTGGGATGTTGTTGATTCTGACGATGACGGCGTTGATGAGGCTGACGACGACGAACGTCATGTCCACTGGACGGAATGATCAGATCATCATTATCCTCCGCATCATCGTGGTCATCATCTTCATCATCCTCATCAAAATGGGTCCCAAAGTTACTGTCCTTATTACGATCAACTTGTCCCATTAGCAATTCCTCACAAGGCAGAAAGAAGTTATCATGTTGTAGTTGCTGCTGCTGCTGATGATGATGTTGATGTATGTCAGAATGTTGTTGTAGATGCATGTCCATGCCATCATCTTCATCTTCAGATATGTCTCCAAACAGTTCGGCGATCACTGATTTCTTCTGATGTGGATCATCTATGGTTAAACAAAGTTATCTCGTTAGAAAGGTGTGTGAAATGAAAAAAATTGCTTGATTGTTTGATTGATTAATGTACTGGTTGTTGATTAATTGAATGATAGATTGATTGATTGACGTTATTAACTTATTAATTTATTTCTTTTCGTTTTAGAAATTGAATTAATTAAAAATAATTTATTAAACTGTCCATCAAACTGATTCATACGTATAAACTCACACACGCATACTAGGCAGGCGCACACACACAGACACACACATACACTTACACATACTCACGCACACACACAACACAAAAACCACGATCTAACGCATTAACACGAAGAAATATTTTCAGAGGATAAAAACGTCGACAAATCAATTAAACAATTAAAAAACATAATTAAAGATTAATGATTGTGGAAAGAACATGCAGTAGAAAAATAATGCAGCAATGCAATCAGTCAGCCAATCAGCTCCATGCATTGCGCCATTTAATTATTTCATCTGCAAATTAGTAACTTTTCAAAAATAAAACACAATGCTACTAAACACACTACATCATAATATATACTCTCTCTTTCTCTTTGTCTCTCTCTCTCTCTTTCTCTCTTTCGAACTAACTACTTCTGCCTATCTTTCTTACTTCAACAGGTATAAATGTGTTTAAAAATACGACCAACCATATAATAACTGCGTGTATATACGTATATACATCTTACAAAGTAAGAGGGGTTATGTAAAACTTATCAAAAAAATTACCTAAGAATCCCAAAGCTTACTAACAAATATAAACAAATACGTATAAAATTTAACATAAGTAACTACCTATCTACACAAACATGCATGAAAGATAAACACACACACATACATACATACATACACATATATATACACAAGCGCTTAAATACATATATATATACTTACATACATCCAAGCCAAGTTATTTATGGACATCAGCAACCCAATAAATGTTTTGTTTATATGGCTGCAATCTCAGTATAATGATTTTCATGTCTGCTCAATATATTTTTCTACGAACATATGCTTCGACCGAAAATATGCACGCCTATACATCCGTGCATCAAACAAATAAGCATGGACGTATATGCATATACATATATATTGAAAAATGAGTGAAAAGCATAGGTGAAAATAGTTGATCTGTCATCAGATACATCGGCCAAATACGACCAAAAATGCATTTTTGTGAACACCTAACTCATTTTAGGCTAGACGCGTTTCGTCCCTTCTGGGACTCATCAGCAGCCCGAGTTAAAACAACAGCTTAGTGCAATTCTTATCGAACTAGTTAGGATCGCAAGCTACAAAGCCGACGTTAAACGGTCATCGTCAGTGCATTATTAATTTATTTAGAATTATAAGTATTTTGCCAAATAATCCATCATTTGTCAAAAAAAAACGTAAAACATGTTTTGACAAAATCTGAACAAAAGCTCAAAAAATTTGACCGGAGGCCTCTACAACCAGCAATGTAAAAATGGCAAGGTCTCCACTGGACGGATAAAACAAGTCGTTCGTGGTGGTGTCAGGAGATGAATGTTGGCAATTCATTGAAGTGATATTGTTATTTATAAATTATTTTGAACAAACTTTGAATAAGATTGTTTTTGAGCAACTTAAAAGAATGTTTTTAAATGAAAAAAAACAAAGTCCTGTAAGAACTTGAATTACAATTCAAGATTGGTAAAATTGAACCTCCCATCTATTGAATATCAAAAAATAAGAGGCGATCTAATTCTAGTCTATCGAATAATTAATATAATGGTGGACTCTGTGATTTGTCCACAGATGTGCAACAGACCTGATGTTAACATCAGAGGTCATCAGCTCAGTCTTAAATGTTAAAAAGTTGTCCATGAAATGCTAAAATGATTTTAAAAATAGAATTAGGCTAAACTTATAAGCTTCCATCGAAC